GATTGATGTGAACCTTTTCCTCTCGGAGGAGACTTCTGTCACGGCCAACTACACACCTCGAACTTGCAGTGGAGATCTAGCGATCAAGGCTGGAGAATGGCTGAAGGGTACAGCCGCCGAGGGTCTCCTAAGCCATATGAATATCATCTTTGCCGATTCGTCTGTTTCGTAAGTATCACTCTACATTTAGGCCGGGGAAATTTATTGACCTTGACTCAAATAGGTGGAAATCACGGGAAGCCTCTCTCTACATTCTCAACTGTTTGCTTCGAGACTTTGGAGAAGTGGACCAAGAGATCTCACCTGAGCTGTCATCCCACTTCACCCAATTCGTGCAATATGCGACCCAACAAGAGCAGGAGCTCTTGCGCGCTCGAGGCTACCTTGTGGCTGGCGCTTTGTCCAAAGTCGCCGGCGAGGCATTCCACCAGACCACATCATCCTATTTGGAGGCTACTCTAAAGGCGATTGCCGAAGACCCCACTGAAGTGGTCCAAGTGGCTTGTATCCGAGTGCTACAAGATCTGATGCCCGCTTTGCCGACGAGCTTGGCGCGCCCCTTCCAGCCTGCGGTGATTGCGGCCATATCAGAATTCATCTCTACACACGACCTTCGCGAACAGACTGATTCTGATGATCTCAAGGTTACGTTGGCAGAAACCCTCCGGGACACTATTATGGCTGACACTAGTGTGGTTCTATCTTCTACCGCCATTGACGTGCTGTTCAACATTGCTAGTAGTGGAGCCGAAAACTTCCAACTGACCTTAACAGTCACAGAGGCATTTGAGGATATTGTGGACCAAATTACCGACAACGGCCCCGACTCTTACATGCGTCTTTGCGAGAAGGTGCTTCCATCGTTGATGGGTGCGATTGATGTGGGCAACCTAACTGAAGAAAATGCTTTGACAAACTTCGCTGTCGATCTTCTTCGCGCTCTAGCCGAGCGGAGTCCCGAGCCGATGCCCGCTGGTTTTGTGGAGACGGTGATGCCCAAGTTGAATCGCCTGCTGCTGGACTCTGATGAGGCCAAATTGATCCGGCCCGCCACGGAGGCCGTACGACACATGCTCTCTCATGACTTTGCACAGTTTGTTGTCTGGCGTGATCCTCAGTCTGGAAAGGAAGCACTTGAAGTGGTTTTGATCATCATTGACCGCCTGCTGGGCCCGGGCGTGAATGACAACGCAGCCACAGAGGTCGGCCAGTTAGCAGCAGAGTTGGTCGAACGAGCCGGCTCCGAGCGCCTCGGACCCTACCTACCGCAGCTCCTGCAAGCCGTGGCGCAGCGACTGGCGACAGCACAGCAAGCACAATTCATTCAAAGTCTTATCCTCGTCTTCGCGCGACTCACTCTTATCAGCGCACGCGAGGTGGTGGACTTCCTGGCCCAGGTGAACCTGGGCGGCCAGAGCGGACTCACCGTGGTCCTCAGCAAGTGGCTTGAGAACTCTGTCAACTTCGCCGGCTACGACGAGATCAAACAGAACATCTTCGCCCTGGCACGACTTTACGAGCTCGCCGACGCACGTGTGGCCGAGGTGCCTGTCAAAGGCGACCTCATCATTCAGGACACCGGCCGAATCAAGACCCGCTCGCAGGCACGCAAAAACCCAGACCAATTCACCACCGTGCCCGCACCACTGAAGATCATTAAGGTTCTAGTCGAAGAGCTGGGCGCAGCATCCGGAAATAAGGAAATCGACGCCGCCACCGCGGCAGCCCTGGACGAAGCTGACAGTGACGACGGTGATGACGACTGGGAGGATCTCCCCGGGCAGGTCCTGGACCTCGGCATCGGAGCCACAAAACAGGGACTGATGAGCTTCGGCGAGGGCGGCTCCGAGAGTGTCTTTGGTGTGCGACGCCGAGACGATGAAACGCAGGGCTTCCTGGCGGATTTCTTCCGACAGGCCTTCACGCAGCCTGGTTTCCAGGAATTGTATGCGGCACTAAATGCGGATGAGCAGGCTAAACTGCAAAGTCTGTGAGGAAAGCGCGAGAAATTTTACTCAAGGCTGTGGTTGCAAGTACCCTTCCCCGGGGCCCAGGTCATTAATGGTTTGATGCATGGATGTCAATACAACAAGCAAGGGCTTGTATCTGTCGCTTGTACGGCGTAAACACCCCCTTTTTTCATTTTTTTTTTCAATTCTCTCTTGTTATCTATCGTACTGTAGAATGAGTATTAGCAACCATGGTGGTAGGGACATTGAAAGGTTCCGGTTTGGACCGAATTGATGATTTCCACGAATGCCGGTTTTTTGTCTGCGCCCCTGCCCCTCCCAAGCCCAAAAGCAACTTTGGGCTAGAGGTCTAGCCATTTGAACTCTTCAGGCTCTGACAAGAGCTATTGACAGATAATTAGAGGGGATTTTATCATTATTTTAATATATGTAGACACGTATAGTGACTTTTCCAAGGTTTACTGCCTTGATTCACAACACTGGAAAGAGAAATTAACTTGGTACCTATAGACCTATAGAAAGGCGACGCAAAGAGTTAGGACACCCTTTACTCCGCAGACACTCCCCATTCCAGTCACAACCACCCAGGGCTTATGGATCCCGTGTGGGGGTGTACCAGACGGCCAGGAACAAGTCCAGGGATGATTCTTGCTTGTGGGTTTGCCTCTTTTTCGGTTTCTTCTGGCAACTGTTTCCTTTTCTTTACGGATCTATTCCCTGCTGAGTTGGGCTCTAACTTATCTAGCTTGGGCATACCTACAGTATCTGTCTCTTGGCTTCCCTTTTTGTGTCAAGGCTCACATTTAACTACTTTGTAGTCATTTGGTAGAACTGAGCACGCCATTCCCGTCAGGGCTCCAGCCCTGAAGATGATGCTGGGTTAGTCAATCAGCCTCGATAGGACTGGGCAGGTAACTACAACGCACCACCCCTCCAGTGTTGTACAATTTCCAGCACTTTTGATCTCCCCAGAATGAGAGGGTATTTGTCTGTATCGTATCTTGGTGTGGCAACTGATCCTATCCATTCCCTGCTAGCGAGGATGCATTTCTTCATCAATATAACAAAAGTTATATGAGATGATCAAGACAGGCATTCTAGACTGGATGACTGAGGGGTGAACTCACAAGAAAACGCGACACGACTCACCGCGAAAATGAATCAAATTACAGTGGGTTTATCAATTATCAATCGCGCTCTTGACTTTCAAGGATGTTATATTTACTAAATCAAGTTAGCCGTCAAGGTTTGAGAAGCTCTCTGGTTGTTCCGCCCGGAGCGTCTCCCCCAATCTATTGCCATAGCTCCGACACGTTGAATTTTTGCATTGACGCAAAGACCTTGCTTGTAGTGGGAATCTTGACGATGTTCAAGAAATTAACAGCTGTTCAAAAAAATATGGACATGGAAAAGACAAGCTTGGCGGTGTGGTCCGAGAGGATCGACCCGTTCGCCTCAAGCCGATTTGTTCCATAGATCTCACGCAGAGTCACCTGGGAACGTCCCTGCGCCTTTCTCCGGGAGAAGCATCTGAGTTCCCACGTCGCTCCTTTCGGCAGCCTTCCCTAGCAATCGCAGCTATGAGGACCTGCAAGTAAGAGAAGCGCACAAAGGTAAAAAAAAAAATACCACAACAGGCCTTGGCGAGGATCCCAGTCTTTTGAAGGACTATACATAGAGCCAAGGATCTAGAGAGTTGTGGTCGCCTGCACATCGCGTAGTTGTGAGGGATCGGCGTAAATAAATGCACTCATACCCACACTGACTAGGTGACTAGTTAGCTGAGCCAGTCGTATAGAGTCCACTGAATTGAGTGCCTCCTAAGGACCGCAGGATCATTATGGGACTTGAGCATCTTCATTCCCTATTCTGTGCCAAGCGTGGAGGGTTTCAGCATCACTGTCGCTTTCCATGTTGAAAGCTGATTGGGCCCAATCAAGCCCTGGTGACCGCAACAGCTCACAACTTGGGGCCTTTGGGGGTCCAAGGTACTCAAACCGACTTTACCCGCACATCACTAACTTGCTGTCCAGAACGATAGCTGATCGCGTATCCACAATATAGGCAGTGGCAGGTCCATGTTTCGGAATACCCGCCCGTAGAGGGGGCTCTGCGGGGCTATCCATGGCATGGCGGAAAGAATCGGAGACCTGTGATTTAAGGATTCCGAGCGACAAAAAAGACCAGTGATCAGAATTGAGGTGATCGACAGACCAGAATATGACCCACCTCCCCTTTATTCAGATCTTCCAGATCACTTGGTGTTTGGGGAGGTAACCATTCTAGAAAAAAGACGTGATCTCTATGTTGTACTCACTATGAGCTCCTGTGGATAACCAGCGGTCAGTCTCTCCACACACGGGGCAGAACCTCTGTGGAGACGTAGATAAGCGGATCATCATGACATCAACGCATCTGAAAATGTGAAGTCTCACGCAGGGTCTTCCTTTTGAATAGTCAAGTGATATCTAGATTGCTAATATCCAGGAAAAATTTCCCCTCTTACAGAACCCTGTCCAACGGCTGTCGAGTTACCGAATTCCACACTTCTCCCTTGAACCGTTTCCATCCGCTCATTTCAAATCATCCAACATCCGGATCCTTATCAAGGTATCCTGTGGTATAGCCCTGATCAGCGGTACTCCAGTCAACCAGGAGTGAACTCCCGGGGACTAAATGAGAAATGCGCTAATCAACGATTTAAATCCCGCCACCGACCGATTTGGAATGGGCAACTTCCCCGTCCCAGGCTGTCGGATTTCCCACTGCGGGGTTAGCAAAAGCAAAGGTACGGAACCGGCCAGGTGGAAGAAAAAAAAAATTAAGTGGCTACGCTAGGGCTCGGTATCCTCTCTCTCGGGTTTTCTTAGTTTCCTTGGGTCTCTTGGATTTGTTGGGCTTTGATAGCTTTTGATTTCATTTCCCCCTCTTCGACTTTCGTCACGGGGAGAAATTGCCCCCCTCTCTCTCTCTCTCTCTCTTCTTTTCTACCCCTTTCTCTTCTTCCACTCTCTCTACCCCTGTCTCGCCATGTCACAACCCAATCTCAATGAACGCATTCAAGTTGACGTAAGTAGGTCATTCCATCTCATCTCTTCTTGGGTTCCCTTCCTACCCCATACCCCCTGTATCTTGCCAGCACCTTCCCCCCCCCCCCCCTCCAGGAAAAAAAAAACCAGGGCACCCACTGATCTCCCAACTCCACTTGCTACTCTTCCCAAATTAATCATTGAAAATCTCCAAATCCCCAACACCAACTAACAATCCCCAGACAAGCGATGACGACTCTCTCTTTGAAATCCAAACCGTGTCAGGCTCAAACTTTTCCTTTGCCTCATCCGTCCGCGACTATTACTACGAAAACGGCCGACGCTACCATGCCTACCGTCATGGCCAATACCCCTTCCCGAACGACCAAGAAGAACAAGACCGCTTAGCACTTACGCACCACCTCTTCAAACTACTCACGGGCGGGGATCTACACCGCGCACCAATACGTCACTCCAATCCGCGGCATATTTTAGACATCGGTACCGGCTCTGGCGAATGGGCCCTGGAAATGGCCGAAAACTACCCGCAAGCGGATATCATGGGCACCGATCTCAGCCCTATCCAGCCGAACTGGGCACCGCCCAATTGCCGCTTCTTCATTGATGATGCCGAGAGTGATTGGACTTTCTCGCCCGGTGAGACATTCGACTATATCCATGCGAGGACTTTGGCCGGTGGAATTGGGGATTGGCCGAGGCTGCTGAAGCAGGCTTATCAGCATCTTAAACCGGGTGGCTGGTTTGAAGCGCAGGAGTTTGAGAGCTGTCTGTGCTCTGACGATGGGACTCACGAACGCGCTACGTCTGTTAATAACTGGGCGGAATTGTTGACTCAGTCTAGTAAGAAGTTTGGGAAGCCAATGGATGTTGCAGCGAAGATTGCGCAGTGGATGGTTGGGCAGGGGTTTGCAAATGTCACCGATGATGTTTATAAGGCATAGTCACTATTTTTCCGGCTGTGGTTTCCCTTGCTGACTTACGTTCAGAGTCCGGTTGGTGGCTGGCCCAAGAACCGCCGCTACAAAGAGATCGGTCGCATCGCCAAGGTGTCTACCATGGAAATTATCGAGCCCTACTCGCTGGCTCTCTTCACCCGTGTCCTGGGGCTTTCGTATCAGGATGCACAGGAGCACATGGAGAGGGCGCGGGCGGAGCTGATGAGCAATTCGCATCATCTCTATGTGCGTTTTCACTTTGTCTACGGCCAGCGGCCTTTCGACGATGATTACACTGGGTCCGAGGCATCTTCAGACGTGGGACTGTGATAACGATGATTATGAGATCATGAAACCCCACGACCTAAAAGATAAAGCTGAGATTGAGAACAATTTTGTCCCTCTTGAACTTCTCCAATCTCCGTCGACATGAAACACAGCTGGACCACTATAATTCTGCGCATTAATAAAGGCTGATCTGTGCTAGTTTGTTTGCTCCATTTCTGTTCACATTCATGTGGGCGATAAGACGATATCGTGACGCATGACAGGATGGGAATCTGATATGTGGTGCACCGCAGTGATTCTGCCTCAGACGATCTTACAATGACTTTACTTGCCTGGTATCGACCAGCGGCTCCGGGCTATGCGGTGGACATATCCACCAAGGGGGACTTCCAGAGATCCAGCTCTGGCCCTGTCCCACACCTTTCGATTCCAACGAATTCGGCTGATGCACACAACAGCAGACCTAGATCCATTTCCGGTGCCCGGGTTAAGTGTGCCTTTACGCCGTTGTCACCGCCCAGTCCCGATCCCGAGAACTTGACAGACTCCTGAAACAGCTTCCTCGGGTGAAGGACTTGTTCGCAAGACCTGAATCACCTGAGGTAAAAATAGCTCGTCACAGCTGGCAATTGTTTCCAGCAATATCTCCAGTAGTTGTTGTTTCCCCTCGCCTTTCCAGGAGCTGGGCAATGAGTTCATGATGGTTGTTGAGGAAGGTCGGTCCTGGGAACTGGGGCTGGCATTGCTGGAAGTATCGCCTGCCATAGGGGTTGGAGTCGGTAGGGAGAAGGGTGCATCTGCATAGACGTTGAATTTTGTGATGGTGGTGGCGGTGTTGACAGTTGAATAATGAGACGGGATTTGGTATATCTGCATGTACGGAAATTGGTTCGGACTTGTATTTGGATTCCCACATGCATCCTGCTCCCATTGATGATCTGCATGAGGTCTATAATCTTGATTGAAGATTGAAGACTCCTCCCTATAAGGTGTTGCCGTTGGTATGGGCGCGGGATAACCAGTGTGTTGTAAGTGCGTCAGTGCTTTGCCTTCGTCAAGCATATAAACATCGCTATTAGCTCCGTATACCGGCGGGTGGTGCATCCCTAACATTGCATCCTGTGCGTGTAAGCCATGCACTGGGAGACTTTGCATCGGTACTGGGATTGTTCCGGGCGTGTCCGGAGCAAAGGTCGTGCATCCTGTATAATATCCTGGCATCGTCGCATCTCCTAGAGTATCTACCCAAGGTTAACACAAGAGCCAAAAAAAGCAAGTGGAAGGAAAGCAAGACATACTTCCAAAAGCATACGATTCACTTGTAGTCGATCCGTCTAGTTCCGCAACCTGCGTCGCATACCCCGTTGCGATGGGATAAGCCGAAGCCGAAGCCGACCACGACGAAGTAGACATTGACCCAGTCCCACTCTCACTCCCCGTGCTGTCAGGACTCGTAACAGTCACAGAGTTTGTCATGGTCGTGATCGATGAGGATGGCGACGACCCGCTCCCGCTGCCTTCAACAGTATCTGGAGTACCTCTAGCTGAGGCAGAACCAGCGCCAGCGCCGGTCGCATACCCAGAGTTATTGCTATAGCCATGGCTGTCGTAATTGCAGCCCGTGTGCGCAGGCGCATATTGTGTCCAACTCTGACCGTTCTCCGGGAAAGGCCCGGCCGCTTGGTCCGGGTGCGAGCGCTGACGCTGACTCTGGCTCTGACTATGACCGGGCTCTCGTGAGGCTTGGTTTAGGCGTCCCCGCAGCTGTGCGACTTCGCGGCGGAGTTGGTTGATAATCTCGGATTGGCTAATGTGGGCGCGATCTTCGGCCGAAGTTAGGTAAGTGCATTCTGCTTCGAGGCCGCGGATAATGCAGGCGTGGCATGGAATAGAGCGGTCGCACTACGATGGAGGGTTGATTAGTGGCTTGCAGGTTAATTAAAAGGTGCGAGTCGAGATAGCAAGAGTGTCAAGAGATAGAGCTATCCGGGTACCTTCACTTTGCGCTCGCGACATCTGAGGCACGACTGCTGCGGGCGTGTCTTTGTCTTGGATTCCGAGGGCATTGCAAGAATTCCACTCTACCCGTGGTATTACTGTAGGTGCAATGATGTATAAATGACCAATTCCCCAGAGGAAAATCAGAGAAATCGAAGAAACCGTTGAAGTTCAGGGCGCGCGGGGGGGAGGGGTTCCACTCAAAAAAAGTCCGGATTTTTGCATCCTATCCCATGCATACTCAGCTGTGCCACAACTTAACTTCCAGAGGAAAATGTGATGGATCTTATTTCAGATCCAGTTTTTTTTTTATATCTCTCTTTGGCTCTGCGCCGAAGCTCTGTCGCACTCTGGTTGGATACATTCTGGTATTGTCTTCTCATGAAGATCGGCGGGTCTTGCAGATCTTGGAAGTGTTCCCTTCGAGCAACTCTTGTGTTGTCTGCAGATATATGCTGCCGAGGGTACCGTTGCAATGATTAGCATGTCCACCGCGATTACAGCAGATCCAAGTGCGTTGTAGATGCGACGTCGGTGCGGGGAATCCTTGAAAGTGAGCCAGTGAAGGAAGTGAAGTTACGCGAAGGGGTGCAGCATAGCATAAATGGCCAGGTGTGATGTGCAACTTACGCCTCAGCCGATCATAAGCCTGCGCCATCAAAGCACATGACATTATATCTCACCTTGCCTATCATCCCCTATTGCAAAGACACCACGAAGTCACTCTCGCCCGTAAGCCGGGCTGCCCGGGGCATGGTCAGCCTGGCGATATTCTCACTGCTAAAATTACAAGCCTCCACTGAGAATTCAAGCTGGGCCCAGCGCCCCAAATGGGTTTCAACAGTTGGGCGTGCTTTGAGTGCAATTCAGACAAGACGCCCTTTACCGAAACAGCGCAAGCAATGCTTAAGCGCGGTCTTTTTGACATAGGCTATGGCCGCCTCGCATTGGATTACTGTTGGATGCTCCACGACCGTACCGATGATGACCCCTAGAGTAGAATATCGCCAAGTTCTCGCATGGCGTCCCCTGGCTCGCCGACTACGTGAAATGCAAAGTCTTTCACCTCGGCAGTTATCAAGGTCTCAGGAATTGGATTTGCGGCGGCTATATAGGCTCTCATGGACACGAGATGCAGAGTGCCGAATTGTTTGATAGCTGGGGCATCAACTACCTTAAGCCCGATAGATGCACTGTCTATGCCGAGAAAGGCCGCTCACGGCGTGGCACGATGTGCTGGGTTCCGTGCCTAATCTGCTTGTATTATTCTATTCCGCCCATACACGGTTTCAAAGGGGATACGACAGGTTAGGGAATCGTCATGGACTGGATCCCACTCGGCTGCTGTGCTTGTATACTCCAAAGATGGCAGTGCCTGGCATAGCGTACTGTACAACTACGACATTTACGCGCGTCTATTGTACTACCAACAACCAGACTACTACAACGATCCGGAATCACTAATTTCAGACTACCCGATCCTTTCTCAGAACGAGAAGAATCTCAGTTCGTGCTCGTGGCTTCCATTGGCACGCCACTGGTTTTCAGCTTTATTATTCGCTCCCCCTCGGACGAGAAAATCACATTCCCCAACAACAAGGCCCTCGTCGCCATGAACTAGGGCCCTTTGGAGCAGCAATCTCCTCTCGTTAGTCGCAACGGCACCTTCGCCGTCTTGTTCTGGTCCATGGATAATCTAGACAGACTTCTGACCATGCTGAATGGCGGAGCCAATGCGGCCACGACGACCGTTTCCCTCGCGCCTTGGTCTGTCATCGTGACCTGGCTGCAAGTATGGTGCACACGATATCGTCGCTGACGAGGTTTCAACTATCGACTCTACTATCGAGATCCAGCTCGATTCTCATGTTGCCAAGGTCTACCATAATTCGCAGCCTGAAAGCTGCACTAAGACTAACTCTATCGGGACAGTTTTTGATACTCCGTCTGATTTTTGTGTGACTGAATGTAGTGTCTCTGGCTCCCAGGTCGAACATGTGGTGGCAACAGGCGATGGTGCTAAGCTGACTTTGAGTCCTCTGTCGGATATGTTAGTCTTGCTGCCAAGTGTGGGCTTTAGCATGCTAAATGCCATGGTGGAGCTGATACTACCTGGAATCATTACACTTTAGGTCACTCGAGCAATCCGGCAGGGAGTCGCTTAACTCAAAGTAAGGACAAAGCTATCATTGAGGAATGTGTGAAGTTTAGGGCAGATCTTTGGATGGCCGAGTGGAGTCCGTCTGGCAAACAAAGAGTTGAGCTAGACTAGATATGGGTTAGCGTGTAACTCAACACCTGAGCTTAAATACACGTGACCAACTGTGGGTCTGTACTTTTGTATACAATATAGAGGTGCAGGTGCGACCCTGCCTGAGGAGAACATCTTTGTCAAAGATCTAAAAGACAAGAAGCAAATTCGTCCTTAATATGAAGAGACTTAAACAATAGACTGGAAGAAACAGACACCTGAGCCTTCATCTAGCAGTGATAGAAAGCCCGCAGTGGCAAAGCTTCTTCAGTTGTACATTCTGCCCTACAAATAAGATGAGCATAGCCAGCAGTAGAAACATGCAAACAGCCTAAATTTCCCAAAAAGACTTTAAAAAGCCTACCCTTGTAAAGAAAATCCAACCCCCTCACCAGTCCCCATCTCAACAAGATTAGCCCTCATTCTTTCCGCCCTCTCCCCAAGCCCAAAAGCAGCATCTTCACGATTAACCCAAGCCCCAACTCCATGCTGTAACACAGCAGTAGATCTAACCCTCTTCTTCTGTTCCTCAGCATCATCCCCCCCACCTCCACAAGCCTTCAACCCCAGACTTCCATGCAACGTCAACCGCGTCTCAGTCCCACCCTCACTCTTCCCCCGGTAAACCCCGCGATGCAAGATGTTACTATTATAAAATACAGCATCTCCAGGCTCTAACTGAACAACCAACTGATCTGGCAACTCAGCCGCATAAGGATCAGCCTCACGCTCGACCTGCGTTCGCGCGCGCGCATGCGTCCCCGGCATAACAATCAACGACGCATCAGGACACAGCGCTAAGTTATACTGACAATGTGACTGACGGCCTTCAGGCGCCTTCGCTGCAAGCTGAGCGAGTTCTTCCTCGGCAGTTGCGTGCTCGGAGATATCGTCTCGGTGCCAGCGGAGTTCGAAGTCTTTGGTTTCGGGCGCCACGAGCAGATTAAATAATTCCATGACGAGAGGCTCAGTCTCGCCGCCGGTGGTATTTGCAATGCCCATTAGCTCTTCCGCTACGGAGAGGATTGTGGGAGAGAAGTAGCATCGTGCGAAACTGTCCCGTCCTGGCATCTCGGGGTGCAGGAGGTGCTGCACGCCCCAGATGCCACCCTCCGAGGCGGGCGGTGCGATTGTCGGCCAGGGTGGGAATTGTTTTGGGACAGTGCGAAAGTGTGGCCAGCTGCCGTTGCGAGTTAGAGTTGTTGCTTTTGTAGCGATTTCGCGGTATTGCGATACCTCGGTGGGGGTTAGGAGGTTGCGGACTACTACGAAGCCATCGCGTTTGAGGGCGTCTAGATTTGGGGTGGACATTTAACTAGAGGAATAGTTGAAAGAGAGATCTTGAGTACCTGGAGATCTGGGAAATATCTGAGGATTAAGGTTGAAATTTATGTCTGCGGGGTTGAAACAGCCTAAAACCCCCCAGAAACAACGCAACAGTGTCTCATACGATGCTGCCGATCTCTATGTTGTAGATGTGACCGGTCTTCGATATCTATGGCTATATCCATCATGCTATCGTAATTAGTAGTTATGATTTTGATTTCAAACAACGAATTCAAAGGTCTTGACAAATTCAATGCAATCCTTAGTTTCAACCCATGGACGTCATGGGGATCACCGAATGCCAAGAATAGCCAAGAGCCAGAGGGCTAAGTCCTCTGCCACAGTTTGAGATTGCACTTCATCTTTTTTTCCCTTTTGAAACTCTTTTTACTTGCACTTGCTTCTTTTGGCTTCTGGTCGTTTGGCATTTTCCATATCATCCTCTCACATTGCGAGGAAAATACCACGCAGATATCACCCCGCCATGCCCCTCCACGCGGGCTCCGCCCTGCTAGTACTGCTCTTGATACTCCCACAAGTTCAAGCCTTTGGAGCTGGAAATATCGCCTCTATCTCCGCTGTCGAAGGCAAGAACTGGCGCCATGGTGATATCGAAGATGTCCTCAAGACGCTGGCTTTTATCTCTGGCCACAAATGGACCTCCACCATGATCCAGCGCGTTTATTTTGGTAACTGGTTGCGTGATTAGTGAGTTATCCGAAAAACAAACGATGGAATAGTATTCTGACAACTTCTGTAGTTCGCAGGCAATGGACGTTGGAACTCTTAAAAATTTGCAGGCTGATACGATCCGTGTTTTGGTGTGGGTCCTCTCGTTCATGAGCTTCGGCTACGCTACGGGTGAATTTGAGGTAACTTCGGATCGATTGGGTGTCTACCGTCCCGAGGAACATATCGAGTAAGTTCGGCTTTAGCTTTATTCTTGATGGTGCTAAATGCTTTCCTTTTCGCAGTAACCCCAAGGATTATGCCGACAACGCAGATGCACGCCAATACGACAAGCGGTTGCGCCCACCTGTACGTGCTGTTGAGCTTGAAATCGACCCCAACACCGGCATGAAGAACTATATTGCCAATGAGCGAGGCGATTGGGCCACCAGCACCGGCTTTGTCAAGTTCAGTCTCAGTCGCAGTATCCACTATGGACGGACCTACACCAATGGTGGACAAAGGAAGGGCAACGAAGAGGACCTGTGTGAAGCACTCCGATGTCTAGGCCAGGGACTACACACGCTGGAGGATTTTGCCGCACATACCAACTATGTTGAGCTGGTATTGCGCGAGATGGGGTTGAAGAACGTATTCCCGCACACAGGCACTGCCACCCAGATCAACCTTCAAGGACATTGCGTTTTCCCGTTGGTGACGGGAACCTTTGGGATGGTCGATTTCTTCCATTCCGTGATGGGAGAGGCAAATGATCATGTCACTCAAACCGAGGTCAACGAGATGGATATTGCGCTCGGTAATGCCGAATCAAATGCGCAGTCGAACAATTCTCTTGACGCCTTGACTGGGCTCTTGGGCAAGATCCCCGGTACCAAGGAGCTTGTCAACGAGGCCGAGGGTCTCAGGAGGTCGGCGGCGGCACAAGAAATGGACAACCGGAGCCGTAGTGCTGCGACCGGTTATGCGCAGTCTTCTTCCGACAGCCACGAGCGGTCCCGTGCCGGGCCAACTCAGTCGTCAGGCAGTGGCTCGAAGCCTAGCTCTGGACTCAACGGAATGCCTGATCTCAACCCCCAGGCGACAGTAGCCAAGATTTATCCTATCCTGGCATTCCGGGATAAAGTAATGCGAAGCTTGAACTCGATCATTGAAAGGGTCCCAGGCTTGGAGTCACTTGTCGAGAAGATCTCTGAGACTTTGACCGTTGTCGTCATGTCGCTCCTGTCGCCTTTCATTCGACCTCTGATCAAAGCCGCTTCCACGTCCATGCAAAATGGATCAGCAGATGTTATTGATGCCTCTGGCAAGCACCAGTACGAACCATGGACCGATCCGCACTGCACAGACCCCACCCACTCGTTGCTATCCAAGGATCACTTTGCCAACATCCTAAATGAGCCCGCTGGACGGGTTGCCTCTGCAATCGTGGAGTATATCGCACCTCGTGTTCTTTACGCTTGGCAACATACCGATGTCTCCGTGGACGAGGTCCTCAATGACTGCATGCAAGTGTTCCACCACCCAGTGTTGCGCAACATGCGCAATGATGCTCATCGTACAATGTTCGAGGCCGTTGAAAAATGGGCCCACGCCCGCCCAGACCGCGGCGCTTCCCTTGACTCTATCCTCAGTTCCGAGGGCGTGAGATCCGGTCGTAACACTGGTGGAGTGAGTCACACTCACAGCGGTGGTCATGGTGGATTTGCGGCCTTGGGTGGTGCCTCCCACGGCCAAAGCCAGAGTCACAACCAAAGCCACAGCCACGGACACAGTAGCAATGGCGGAGGTTTATTTGGTGGATTGTCATCATTTCTCCCTCAACAGAACCAGAACCAGAACCACCAGCAACACTCAAACAGCAGCTCCTCTGGCTTGCCCTGGGACAAGCTCTCCAGCATCCCCGGCTTGTCAAACCTGAGCAAACTCGAAAGCAAAATCTCCAACTTCCTTCCTGGCGGCTTGTCACGCGATTTCAACGACCGAGGAACCCAACAAAGCCAGCCCAGCTCATACCCAAGTCATGAGGCAGGGGGTAGGTACGACGCCTCGTACCCTCCCCCACAACAGCAAGGAGACTACTACCAGCCTCAGTACGTACCTCAACAAAGTCACGGCTACCAGCCAAATCAACATCATGAACAGCATTATGGCAGCTCGCAGAACCCTTCGTCCCATAGACAACAGGATGACCCCTTCGGCCATCCGCAGCCGCATGGTGCTCAGCATGGCCCACCACATGGTTCGCATCCAGGCTGGCATGATGGATCTGGACAGGGCCAGGAATATGGACATGGTCACGGGTATGAACATGGTCATCCGGGCTTTTGAAGATCGGATGAAAAGACGAAAATTAAATGATTTGGCTGAAAATGCAGAGAGCAAGTGAATGTGGGATGGAAGATTGTGTTGTATTTTTTGAAATCGGATGGATTCAGAGAATTGGAAGTTACACTTTCTTTTATAAAAGCGCGTGTGGAATTCGTGACTTTGAATCAACTTGGGTTTTCTTTGGACGTAAATGGGCTGTTGAGATTCCTCATCTCGTAGTCTTAGAAACCAGGCCTTCACTGGGGTGATTGATTTTAATTTGTTGGATTCTTCCCCAGCCAATAGCACGGGTTATCTGTATGCTTTGCCGGGAGTCTGTCATATCATATTGTTCTTCATCGTGGCTTTTCTCATTTCAATGAAATATCTAGGATGGAAGAAGAGAAGAACACATCGGAAAGAGCCCTTGGACGTCAGGTCTCGGAGCCTTTGACAAACATCTGGAGTAGGGGAGGCCTGGGAAACAAACAAGCATTTGCACGGGAGATCGTATGCTTTTACACAACCCGGCTAAGAGAGATCAGGAATCTCTTCGCGATGATCAACAACCCAGGCTTGGTGATAGGAGGCAACCTCGCTGATGGGTCGGGGTGCTTGGGTATTCCCTTCTTCTTGGTTTCTGGATAGGGACATAGTCGTGTAGAAAAGATTCTTACATTCCTCGCAAGGCTTTGTTGGGTATTCTGGGCCTCGTCGAACAAAGAAAAAAGTTCATTCGCAATGAAAATATCATCGAATGTCCTGACACAACTTCAGATGAAGAATCATTTTGATGCCTTTGATTTCTTTCGTGTCTTAGGAAGCCATTTTGTCTCGAGTCTAGTGCCAGACTGCCGGAGGCCATATATATCCTTCCCTCTTTGTGTTTAAAATGGAATTCACCGAAAATATACTTGTCTACACTGCTTCAAAGTCAAAAGTCCACATTCAACCCAATCCCCAGCTGCACTCGGTTGCGTGAGCCTGACAGCCGTATACCATTATGTCAACTGACGAGCTTCACAGGTGGGCACGGGTTGCAGTGCTCCGCGGCAGATCAATTGAAGGTCTTGAAGATCTGCAGATCACTCCTCGGGCATCTGTGCGGAGCCATGTGAGCAGAGAACACAGTACTGCCTGTCCACGGACGATGGTTAGCGAGTGGATCAACGAGAACCACCTCATCTGGACCTTATGCGCCGACCTCGCAGAGTCTGACGCCGACCAGGATTGGACGCGCGGGTTCAACACCCACTACAGCTCCCAGTAAATTCAGATCCAGGAGACTGTGAAGCAGACCCAGGGTATTGAACGGTTCCTGCTGGTCACCCGGTGCTAATAAATCGTATCGAGCTAAAGCAAGCATGGATCGAGAGTCAGTGGAAGGCCTGGTTGAATATCTGATAGAGGCATTAAACTGCATCGCCGCTAATCTCAATTCCGTGAGAGCTTTGGCGTATGCATGAATTTAATTGGGGTTTGGCGTTAAAAGCTTCCAAAGGCATATTAATTAGGAAGAATTACCCTGGATGTTCAGACTTGAAAATGAATGTTTCTTAGCATAAAATATATTAAGTGTAGATATATTTATCTCAGGGGTTCCCAGTTTATCCGACCAGCTTTCCACCAATCCCCGTTGTAAAAGTATACATCTGCTCTCCCCCCTTCTCTTTTGCATAATTCTCCTCACCGTTATCTTCTCTTCGCCTTCCCATGTGGTACTTTCTTCTTTTCTCCTTTCCCCGTTCTCCTCTACGACTGCAGCTCTTTGCCCCTAGGTGACAACTTCCTAGTCACCAAACGACCGAGCCCTAGCTAAGAGACTGGACTTTGAGAATTTAGAAATTATTTCGAGTTCCGCTTTTTACTACAACAAGACTTTCTTTCCAATAGTCTGAACCACGACTTACCTTGATACTGACTCCATTGTAACTGGCACTACCCAACTTGCCATATGTTACATTAGTTTGCTCTTCCTTTCAACAGCCCAGCCGGGCTAGCTCAATCGGTAGAGCGTAAGACTCTTAATCTTAAGGCTGCGGGTTCGACCCCCGCGTTCGGCTATTCCTACAAACCAAACCTGAGATTTCTTTTTTGTCTTTCTTGTTGGATAATTCTTTTGATGAAAGAGGGTTTTCAAAGGGTTTTAAATATACCTTGTTAATAAGGTGCTAATCCCACCTTGATACATACTTCTTCCCAATCTATTAGTTTCCATCATCTTCATAGGTGATGGTGGTTTAGTATAAAGCACTAGCTCTATTATCGTGTCCCTAAGCACTGAGCTACCCAGACAATACGATTTTTTGTACTATACACAAGAATAGTCCGCCGTGCTTGCGGTCGGGTAACGTATTTTTGGTTAGCATGTCAAGATGGCTTTCTTCTATAAATGTTTTATCCCCGTCAGTTACGTAGGTAGACAGCAGTAAAAAGCAGATAGATCTCTTACATCGTGAAATGGACTTTTCTATATACAACATTCGGAAATTGGAGTGGGCAGAGAATGCAAGGCAGAAGTTATAGTCGCACCCATTCAGGAAGATGGGACTGGAATTTCGGGCAGGGGAAAAGGGAGGGGGAGAGGTGAGAGCATCCAGAAAGGAGGTATAATAAACAATACCCCTCCTCCATTGATGTAACTAAAGCCGTTTATCTCTGTCAACTATGACGGCCCTACACCAAGACAACTCAAAGATCAGTCATATCATAAGCTACAAGATACACATGAAGGCCATTATCCTCTTCGTACCAGACGGGGAAAATACAGCACTCCAAATTACACCTAAAATGCACTTTCACAACTTCGTTCCCTCGCGTCCACTATCACTGGGACGTCTAGGCCGAAGAGGCCCCAGGGACTGACCAGCAGCATGGCTCGGCCCAGCCGCTGACGACATCAACTGTGTCCGTGTTCCCTCGTTGTCTGCAGTGCGCACAGATTTCCCGCGCGTCCCCTGGTGAAGGCGAGGGTTCATGAGCCATTGAACCTGCATGCGGACACTGTTGACTGCTGCATTCGTGTGGGCCATGTCTTCCTTGATACGCATGCATTCATTCATGATAGCCATGCTGGCGCGAGCATCTAGGTCTGTGATAGCGTACGAAAGTTGGCTGACCTCTTCCCGTAGAGATTCGTGCAGAGAAAGTAGATAGGTCGTGGCATTAGAAGAAAATACACTCGCAGCAGTGTCTGCAGGATCATCTGAGTGGACGTCAACGCGAGTGGACGGTTGCTGTTCTCGGCCAGATTGGGTAGATTGTCCACCACTATGACCGTTCGCACCCAAGCGTGCGGACTCAACGAGAGTGGACCGAATATTGGCGAGCCCATCCTCAAAGATTTCATTCCGCTGCTGTAGATGTCGCATACTTGATTCTAGGGAATTGAGCCGGGTGTTTTGCATCTCAAAGTACGGGACCATTGCGACTATGGGGCAGCTTTTCTCATGTGCTGCAATGTCTGCCCGTCGTATCTTAACAGGACATGCGTACTTGGATGCCTCGCAAGGAATTGCGACCTCTGGACATGATTCTGTGTGCTCCCGCAGTGCCCCTCTAGTGACAACTGTTCCGCAGTCAACACATGCGACTTCGAGAACTGGACAAAGCTCTTTCTCATGCTCCTAACATGGGCGTTTCTGGTCAGCATCTATCAAACTCCAAGAGACTCAAAAGGGCAACAAACCTCGTATTCATGCTCTAGGACGTCCCCTTCGCAAAAAGAGCACCGTTGCACTCTATGAATGCACTTCCGATCCACCCCAATGTCCTTGCTTCGCGTCATCTGATCGCATGAATTATCCGGGCACGGCAATAGCCGGTATCCACAGTACTTCTCGACATGCGACTGGACATGACCTCGGGGTATAATTTCCTGACATCCCTCCGTAATCAACGGGCATCGCACCCGGATCTCGTCGCACATATTGATCAGCAGGCGGGGCACGCTAGCTGACACTTTCTGGGTGGGATTTCGGCAAGAGGGACATGGGAACTCGCCCGAGTCGGCTGAGCGGAAGCTAGTGATGGCCGAACTGAGGCAACTCCCGCAGAAAACATGGTCGCATTGGAGACGAACGGGATCAACGAAGGGACAGTGGCAGATCGGGCACATCAGGTGCGAGTCGTACTCGGAGACGAGATCAAGGCTGCGGAGATCGATTAGCTCGTTGCGGTCGCGGCATTCCTCCATAGCCAGAAAGTCTTGTAGATTCATTTTGCGCTGACTTGGGGCCTGTCAAGAGGCCCCCAAAATAATATGCAAGGTACCAATGGACTTTTTATTCTCTGTGTTGTTGCTTTCTTGGAATGCGGAATCGGTGCGCGGGTTCCGGCAGCTTGGCGCTAGATAGCAAGGAAGACTGAATAGTCTTGTTCCATGAGGATGGCACTCAGAAAACAATCAGCTGAGCGATCGGAAGCAGAAGATTGCAAGACATAGACATACTAAGATTTCCAAGCTGAAGAGAAAACGGGATGACTGCGGGGGATCAAGGGGAGGCCAAAGGCGGAATGCGGTTGATCCGCACTGTTGCCTCCGCTCGAGATTCCTCGTCTTACAATCTCCACCTTCAACTTCGTAAACACCTCAAACAGTCTGACTTTACCTTACTTGGCTGATCGGAGGTCTTTCTTCGTACTGACCGTCCAAACGCCTGCGATTTATACATCTAAACAGCCTGACATATTGATTCCACGCACTTCATCATGTCGAGCCCTTCCCAGCTATTCCTACTCGCCGATCACATCAAATTATCCCTTTTGGAGCGCGAAAGGGCAATCTCACTTGACCTTGAGCCCAATTCCCAAGATGGAGAGATCTCTTGGTCTCTCGAGTCCCTCCGAGAGAGCATAGAGGGCCTAGTAGCCGAACAAACCCGGCTAGCCAACTCGCACGACAGCGCAGGCGCTGCTGCCCTGAAAGACCAACTCACCCCCCTTCAAGCCCAATACAAAGAACTTTCGACACAGTTCTACGGCGCAGGCGGTGAGCCATCGGACAACAACATGACGCAGGCGTCGAAACCCGCCACTCCCGATCTCAAGCAGCCCATCCCACAACATCCACCGTCCAAATCAGTCCGCTTTATGGACAGCTCCGCCGCCGCAGCCGTGCAAGATGAGATCGACGAGGAAAACGAGCGCAACCGCAGCAATCTCTTCCGCCCATACCGCGATGAACCATCGCCGCGACCGGATCAGTCAAACATGGACAACCAGCAGATTTATGACCACCATGCTCAAACCATGCGTGATCAGGATGACCAGTTGGATCGTCTTGGTGAATCAATTGGCAGACAACACCAGCTGAGTATTCAGATTGGAGATGAGCTGGATGGCCATGTTCAACTTTTGGATGGAATGGATGGGGACGTCGAGCGTCATCAGACCCGACTGGACGGCGCCAGACGGCGGATAGATAGGATCCGTCGAAAGACGGGAGACAACTGGAGCATGATGACTATTGTTGGATTGATCATAATTCTGGTCATCTTGATCGTGATCCTGAAATGATACCCCCGACGGGTGGATGATGGGAGGCTGTTCTTTTATCGCTATCATGTTTTACTTTCTTTGGCAAGCGGGCGTTTACAAATTTACTGAGCACGGGACAATTGATTCTTCTGTCTTTTTACAGTGGCTTGAGGCGTTTAAAGGCAATGGAGTCGCTCCTAGACTCTTGGTTGGACCTGAACATACATATACAAGTCTACCCTAGATCATAAGCTTCCTTTCATATCCAATTCTCTGCTCTGAAAATGTGGATAGTCTCAATTGACATTTGAGGAAATGCGTTAAAACTAGATTGAACCACCAAAGACCCCCCAGCAGCCGCACCCACTGCCCCAACAAAGTACACACGAGGAATAAACTCAGGCTGTGATCGAAAAGTTGCAAACCGCCGATAGGCTTTACTTATTGCTTGTTGATCTTCTCGGTTTTCACATGTTTTGTTTTCTCCTGCATCTCCCGGAAAGACATATCATCGTCTAACTCACCGCGATCTGCTTTGACCTGAGTAAATCAAACATGTTAGCACCGATTCAAGAGGAGTTCTAGGATTCAATGCTTACGCCTGCCTCGCTGTTACTAGCCAACTCAGACTTCCACTTTCCCTTGCCCTCCTTGGTGTTCTTGATGCCTTCTTGCTTATGGAATTCATAGTGGTAGGAAAGGTTCTCACGGCCTGTTTGAGGGTTAGTGTGACTGGGACAAGTCGGCCATAGTGGCATACTGACTCCGATCATCCTCGTTCAAGTTTCGAACTGCCGAAGAGTGGAATGTGGAAGCTGGCACAGCGAAGTTGGTTCGGATAGCTTGACGGGAGGAGACACGGATGGTGGCGAGGAATGACATAGTGATGGTATTGATGTTGAGGTGAGTATGGATAGAATGATAGAGTAACGATTGTGCAAGCCAAGGTAGATTTTGAAATATGGAAGAAAAGTATTTGAGACCAAGTAATTGGAAGTTCTTTCCGGCAAATTTAAGAGAGCAGGTCTTCATCTGGTTCTGGGCTCCTGATGCTAGATGACATCATCAGGTTGGTAGATCTACGGGACAAATATGGAGTACACAGCTTGTACTAGTGCAGTCTAGAGAATCTCGTCAAGACTATTCTTTCCGCTTTTTCAAAAGCCTTGGGGCTTTTGACATGCTCCGTGAGAACTGTTGTTTTGGATATTCTACGTCGACATAGAATCTCGCGTAAAAAGTGTTCAGACTTGCGCACTTTCTGAACTGAATTTGATTCTCCTGATTTTAACAAAATAGTTGTCAATACAAGTGGTAGCCTTCTAGACAGAAAAATTTCATAGTGCGTTAAAAATACTTTAATTGCGAGATAGGAACATCATAGGTGAAACGATCTATATGCTTTAGATATGATCTAGAAATCTACGGAAAATGGCTTCCTCCGTGTTAGTTTTAATCGGTTTCCTTGGCCGAAATAGTCGTCTAAACTTCAAAACCGTGGACTATACATTGGGAGGGTGGTTGTGAGCACATTGTCGCTGATGTGGCAGCATTGGAGGATGCACCTAGTTCGGGGAAAAACAATTATCTACATTTTGAAGCGCTCCATGAAAAAAAAACTCATGACTCATTAGAAGACTAACTTAGCGACTGGATCTCAGGCACAGAGAAGCAGCTCCATATATCCATAAAGCTAACAGATTCTGTTTGTATGCACGGTAAGAGCGCTTGTGTAGACCGGGGAGCTGCTGAATGGATGCACGAGGTTCCTATTGGCCTCCGCCATTTTACAGCTAAGCTTTTTCCTCAATATCAAATCGGATCTGCATGCTAGACTTCTTCCAGACAACGATGCTGGGGATACGATATGTACCTCTGGGGAATGCTGATAAAACAATAGCAGCCACTCCCTTACCAAGCTCTGTGCCTAGAATGGCCTTATATTCGGGGGGATCGAAATTCCAGATTACTTGATTTACTGATGTAGGAGATAGCTGAAACCCTTGGGAACCAGGTGGCTGGGGTTTGGCCCAAATTGTGTGTATAACGTTCCTGGTATCTTCGTTGATGAAATTTTCGAGGTAGATGTGTCTCAAGAGATTCCGGGCAACATGAACATCGTACTGTGCAAGGGCGACTTGGCTCCACCAAGGTCCATCATATCTGGCAACGTTTCTGAGGATGATAACTCCCATTGCAGTCGTGATATGATATAAGTTAGTTCCACTTTTCGGGTGCGCAAAGACCGAGTTCTTTGAGATCTTGACATCGTGATAGTCTTCATTACCTACAGGGAGACCACAGCCCTCGAGGTCCTCTTGAATAGCTGGGGGTCTTGGGACCCAGCGGTTAAAATTTACTGTCCATCTTTCGAACCGGTGTTTGGCATGGGTCAAGCTTTCAAATTCAAAATCTGGTGGCTGCACTGTACAGTTAGGCTCGTTTGCATCATCGATCCATCTTTGTCGCAAGTGTCCCCACATCTCGCGTTCGCCATACTGATAATCGGTCCATTCGAGATTCTTTCGTCACGGGAGCATGATTGTTCAGTTTGCTACAGTCCAGCTCTGGTCCGCCATTATAGGCACGCGGCCTGGCGTCTTGCTTCCTCAAGACACTTCGTCGCCGGGCAATCCAGTTTTGGGCAAACGCAAACGGGATAACACCTTCCAGAGTGATCTTCCAAAGCAAATTTCCTTGAAAAATCTTCCGGACTCGGTCTACTATGGCGATGTTGAAATTTTCTACTTGAAAGACATTTAAAGTAAACGCGATGTGCTCTGTGCCATCATCGAGTTTCGCAATCTCAAAGGTCGACCGGAAGGTGCGGACGGGTAAGTTGAAATTTTGATTTGAATTTCTCATGGAGCAACGTCAATACTGATCCTTGCCAATAGAACCAAATTCTTCATGCACGGCGATTATCGATTGGCATATTGCCCGATAGCTCAAATCACTGCCTTCGCTTTCCACGATGGGGCTTTTGCCAATACCGACCTCACACTAGAGCTCATTTGGCGGCTACGAGTTTCAAGGGGCATTCCATCTCTTCCCCTCCGGTGGAAGCCCGAAGTTCTTAATGTACCCTTCCTTCGATGTATTGAACGCACCCCATACGGCTACGGACTCGATGGATCTTTGCCAATGACTTATGATTCAAATCGGCATGCGCTCAAGGAGTTGGGTCGAGATGCTAGATTCGAAGACGATGTTGGACAATACAATTTCCGCCGCTGGACGGCAAATGAAGTCAACAGTATGTTACATGCCGAACGCGATATGATGGATCCATGTTCGCTACTATAGATGGAATTTCTTGCAACAGAGCTAACTATCTGTAAAATCCTTCGCCGCTGAAGCTTAAATCTTGGAATCGGGTTAGCTCGCAGTTTAGACAATCGTTCCTCTTAGGATTAAAGAGGAACAGCCATATGTGGCTCGAACGAGTTATCAAAGCGCCCGGTCAAATACAAACATACGGTGAATAGCGAAAAGGGCAGCAGAACATAGCACACACAAAGAAACGTTGAGCGACTTTAGAACCGGGCTCTTAAGTCTAGGTGAGAATATACCTTGGCTAGTCCGTATAGTATGCTAACGAGTGGCATGGCTGAAAATCTGCCAGGATATATAACAAGGCAAAGATGAAATTCTCACTGGTAGACGTGGGGTTGCGACAGGGGTATAAGGGAATGCACGGACATTGGAGCAAGTGGAGACTAATAAGCCAATAAAATCTAATAAACACCATCTTTCCTTTCTACTAAGGTGATTATTGAAAAGAATAGGTTTCCCTACACAAGTAAAACATTTATACTGCCAACAACTTGACTTCCTACTGGTTCATCATTATTCGAGTTCGTCGTGTGCAATGGTTAACACACTTCCAGGACCAACCAATACACCCGAACTCCACAATCATTTTTTCTTGAAGGGCACTTCGTTTCCTGACTCCACTATGACAAGAGCTCAAACACGTTGAACCGGCCTCGAACGCCGCCGAAAATGAGCGGCCTCTCAATGCTTCAACACCGCCGCACTTAATTGCGTTTGCTCGTCTTGTTCTGGTCTAAACCCAGCCAACTGTTTTCCTGGTTAACCTACGATATACTGGTTTAGGAAGCTATTTTCATTTATCGCCCCTCCCATGGGCTATCCGGAAATTAGTCTAGCCGAGAGCGAGCGAGACTCTGTTCAGCATTCAGAGTGCCACTAGTCCAAACCAGGCTACTAGTTGTTAAGTCAAAACGAATGACTGTCACAATTTTTCGAGTCCAATGCCCTTTTTGAAAACACATTGTGAATAAATGTCCATGCACTGCCGGCATCATCACCGAAATGAGATTGTCCACTTGGTAAAGTCCTGGAGGACCTGGTGGCACTAGGGTCTCCCTTGCCCTGGACGCCGGGGAGTATTGGACAGAGACCAAGCTCTGTACCCGACAGTATCATAGCCATAATCGCAACTTTTACATCAAGGCTATTACCAGTACTGGTAACACCTTGCGGGAAGGCACCTCAACTGATACTTATCAGACGTTTACTGCCACGGATGGCTTTGCGGTTATGGGTTTCAAGAGACAAGGCGAGGACGAGATTGAGCAATTGGCTTTGGTATACGCAGCATAACAAGGAACATGAAAAGCGATTACCTTACGTGTGAATCCAAATTTGTGGTGAATATTCATGTGTTCCTTTGCCATTTTGGCCAATCGTGTCAAGTCATGATTTATGCTAGGTATGTTCCAAACGCCGTGGTATCTCTCAGAAATCTGCCCTTATGCATCGCGTTGTGTAATGAAGCCAAAAAGAAAGAGACCTTTAATCAATCATATCTTCTGGGAGAACATCATTCGGGTTCTCCCCAACCGCTTGTCCCACCAGGCGCACGACGCGCTTGATTGCCTTGGATGCGGGACTGTCCGGGAAGTTATCCACAAAGCTCTCACCAAAGTCGCATGCCATTCCAACGCGAGGATCCAGAGGGACAGAGCCTAGGAAAGGAATGCCCATTTTCTTCGCAAGCCGGCGACCGCCGCCAGTTGTCGCTCGGAAGATTTGCGACTCGTGGGTGCAGTTAGGACAGACAAATCCAGACATGTTCTCTACCAAGCCCAACACCTTGATGCCAGCCTTGCGGCAGAAGTCGACCTCTTTGCGAACATCCAGCAATGAGACCTCCTGCGGGGTAGTCACGACCACGGCACCGTCAACGCCAGACTCTTTCAGCAAAGAGTTGACGGACAGATGCTCGTCAGAGGTCCCGGGAGGCGTATCGACAATCAAATAATCTAGCTCGCCCCAGTCCACATCTTTGAGGAATTGCTTGATCAGTCCGTTCTTCTTGGGCCCGCGCCAGATCACCGCATCGTCCCGGTTGGGTAGCATGAACTGCACGCTCATCGCACCCAGATTATCTGTCACCCAGACGGGACTCCAGCCGGCGTTACTAATGTGAATAGTCTCTGACTCCACGCCCATCATCTTGGGGATCGACGGCCCGCAGATATCGGTGTCCATGATGCCGACAGTGGAGTCTGGGTTGGCGGCGAAGGCGTGTGCGAGGAGGGTTGAGAACGTAGATTTGCCCACTCCTCCCTTTCCGGAGAGAACAAGGATCTTGTGTCGTATCTGGGAGAGTCGTTCGGTGATGATTGGGATGTCGGGGTCGGGGCCTTTGGGCGCAGTGGCGCAGATCTGTTGGTTTGGGCAACCGGCACAGGCATCGCCTTGACCAGCTTGCTCAGATTCAGGGCCTGGGCAGTGTTCTGTAGAGAATGAGTGTGTGTGTTCTGTTAGTGAATCTGCGCATGCTTACCTGGTTCGGGAGCGACAAGGCTGGGTGTCACCTTGGACGACACTGCTAGGGACTCTTCAGCGAA